GATAATCTATTGAGTATTAGTCAATTATGCGATAAAGGATTCAATGTCTTATTTGAAATTAATGGTTGTAAAGTCATTGACATTGCATCTAATCGGATTATGCTTGTTGGTCATAGAATAGGAAACATATACATGGTGCATTTAGATTCTTTTGATATGACTAATTTATGCCTAGTTGCTAAGGATGAACATGATAGTTGGTTATGGCATAGGAGACTAGAACATGCTAGTATGAGTGTTTTGCAACGGTTAATTCAAGGAGACCTAGTAAGAGGGTTGCCTAAGCTTAAATTTGATAATGATAAAATCTGTGATGCTTGTGCTAAAGGAAAACAAAAGCGAGTTTCTTTTAAATCCATTAATGATGTATCAACTAGTAGAGTTTTACAATTGATCCATTTAGATCTTTTTGGGCCAACTAGAACTACTAGCTTGGGTGGAAAACAATATGCATTTGTCTTGGTAGATGACTATTCTAGATATACTTGGGTTCTATTTTTAAGTACTAAAGATGAAGCATTCGAACAATTCATCACGTTTTCAAAAGTAATCCAAAATGAAAAAGGTTACTCTATAACTAGTGTTAGGAGTGATCATGGAACTGAATTTGAAAATCTTAGATTTACTGAATTTTGTAACTCTAACGGTATTAGCCATAATTTTTCAGCACCTAGAACCCCTCAACAAAATGGAGTTGTTGAGAGGAAAAATTGAACTTTAGAAGAAATGGCTAGAACCATGCTTTGTGAAAATAATTTGCCAAAATATTTTTGGGCGAAAGCCACAAATACCGCTTGTTATGTTGTAAATCGAGTATTGATTAGGCCAATTTTAAAGAAAACTCCATATGAAATTTTCAAAAATAAAAAAGCCTAACATTAGTTATTTTCATCCTTTTGGATGTAAATGTTTTGTTTTAAACAACGGTAAAGAAAACCTTGGCAAATTTGATGCTAAAAGTGATGAAGGAATTTTTCTGAGTTATTCCTTAAATTCTAAAGCCTATCGTGTATTTAATAAAAGAACTTTAGTTGTAGAAGAGTCTATACATGTTGTTTTCGATGATAATCCCCTTCCGAGGAAGGATTCTTGTGTAGATGATGATGTAGGTGTTGTAAATACAAATGACGTTAGACATGACGTTAGAGAACCATCATCAAAGGAAGAAACGAAAAATAAGGAAACTCATGATCCTCTTGAGGATCCAACCATTGAAGAAAGGGAAGTATCTTATCCAAGAGAGTACAACTATGTCAATAATGGTGAAATTATAGGTGATCCATCCAAAGGGGTAACAACTCGATCTTCTCTTAGAAATATTTGTAATTATGTTGCATTTATCTCATGCATAGAGCCTAAGAATATTAAAGAAGCATTAAATGATGAACATTGGATTATGGCTATGCAAGAAGAGTTAAATCAATTTGAGAGAAGTAAAGTATGGACATTAGTTGAAAGGCCTAGTAATAAATCTACTGTAGGTATTAGATGGGTATTTAGGAATAAGCTTGATGAGAGTGGTAATATAGTGAGAAACAAGGCTAGACTTGTTGCTCAAGGGTATACTCAAGAAGAGGGCATAGACTATGATGAAACATACGCTCCCGTAGCTAGGATGGAAGCAATTAGAATGTTATTAGCATTTGCATGTTTCAATGAATTTAAATTATATCAAATGGATGTTAAAAGTGCATTTTTAAATGGTTTTATAAATGAAGAAGTGTATGTGGAACAACCTCCAGGTTTTGAAGATTCAAATTTTCCGGATCATGTTTTAAAATTGACAAAAGCTCTTTATGGTTTAAAGCAAGCTCCTAGAGCTTGGTATGAAAGATTGTCAAATTTTTTAATTGAAAAAGGTTTTTCAAAAGAGAAGGTTGACACTACATTGTTTTTGAAGCATAAAGGTAAAGATTTATTAGTAGTTCAAATTTATGTTGATGATATAATATTTGGTTCTACTAATGATGTTCTTTGCCAAGAATTTTCTAAGCTAATGCAAAGTGAGTTTGAGATGAGCATGATGGGGGAGCTCTCATTTTTCTTGGGACTCCAAATCAAGCAAAGAAAAGATGGCATCTTCATCAATCAAGCTAAGTACGTCAAATATATGCTCAAGAAGTTTGGACTGGAAAATGGGAAACCTCATGACACTCCAATGAGCTCTTCAACAAAGCTTAACTTAGATGAAGGAGGTAAATGTGTAGATGTTAAATTATATAGGTCAATGATTGGATCTCTACTTTATCTAACTACAAGTAGACCGGACATTATGTTTAGTGTTTGCTTATGTGCTAGATTTCAATCATGTCCTAAGGAATCACATTTACTAGCTGTTAAGAGAATCTTTAGATACCTTCAGGACACTCATAGTTTAGGACTTTGTTATCCTAGAGACTCTAGCTTTAGCTTGCATGCTTTTTCTGATGCAGATTATGGAGGATGCAAATTAGATAGGAAAAGCACCTCCGGTACTTGCCAATTCCTTGGAAATATGCTAATTTCTTGATTTTTAAAGAAACAAAATTGTGTTGCATTATCTATCACTGAAGCCGAATACATTTCAGCTGGTAGTTGATGTGCACAAGTTTTATGGATGAAACAACAACTTTTTGATTATGGAATTGAAGTAGGTACCATTCCTATCAAGTGTGACAATACTAGTGTTATTTGTCTCACTAAAAATCCCATCCAACACTCTAGAACTAAGCACATTGAAATAAGACATCACTTCATTAGAGACCATGTCACTAAGGAAGATGTAGTTCTAGAATTTGTTGATACTTTGTGCCAATTAGCAGATATCTTTACAAAACCTTTAGACAAGGAACGATTTTGGACACTTAGGAGAGAATTAGGTTTGACCAACCTATCTTCACTGAGTGTTTAAAATAATTTTAGCAGATATGCTTTTTCTGATGCAGATTATGGAGGATGCAAATTAGATAGGAGATAATTTGTTAATTGTTTTCACACTAAAACGGCTATATTATTTTCTCTAATTATCCCCAACGTTCAGAAGTGATTCAAGGTGTATTTAAGCAAGCTTAGAAGCCATTGATCAACAACAAGAAACATCAAGCAATTAGAATCAAGAGAGAATCAAAGGGAAAGCATCAAACCTCAAGTTTGAGCATTTCAAGCCTATTTTTCATTCAATATTCATTTTGCTTTCAAGAACACTTATTGTGCTCAATTGTATTTATTATTGAGTGTTCTTTCTCTGTTCTAGAATTGTGCAAACATATTTGCCTTGTGAGGTTTTTCTTGTAAGTTTGCAAATTTGTATTTCTCTTTGAGAAAAGAGTGTTCTCAAGAATTGGGGTATATTCTTGAGGGAGTTGTAAGGTTATCTCTTTGGCCTCAAAAGAAAGAACAAATTAGTGAATTTGTTGGAAAATCCTTAGTGTGGATAGCTAAGGTAGTGGACGTAAACTTTGGTTGATAAAGTCAAACCACTCTAAATCGCTGTGCAATTTCTTTCAATTTTCTGCAAAAGCTTCCACAAAAATTTTTATTGCCAATTCACCCCCCTCTTGGCCGATTCAGTCAATCGATTAACTCAACAAATTTTATTGTTTTATATTTACATAATTCACATGTTAAATTTATGTAATGTTTTTTTAATAATATAGTTTAATTTAATTGTTTAATAGCTATTTGTTTATTTTTATTTTAAAAGAATTAAATACAACATACATTTTTAATATTTTAGTTTTGAATTAAAGTTTTCATTTATATGAACTAAACATGTTTTCTAATTTTCAAAAAGTTGAAATGAAAACTATTTTCTGAAAACAAAAAGAGAAAATATTTTCTAGAACCAAACGGACCATCAGTTTGAGTAGATTTCTACTAAACACGTTTTCTTTGTAATCAATGTAATCAAGTAACAATTCCTATAAATATATACCAAGAATCAGAGTTTAAAGTTAAGTCGATTATGAAAATCCTATTGTATTATTTAATTTTTGATGTTATTAAAAATACTTTTTTTTTCTACTCTTGGGATTTTAAAAAATAATTCCCACAAAAATTTAGTGTTTATTTTATTGTGTGATCACCATACTTATTATTTTATTTTAAAAGTTGGTATGAAAACATCTAAGTTGTTTTGTATTGATCAAGATAATGATATCTCGAAATACGAAATTCTATTCTATTAGTAGAGTATATATCTTGAGAGAATCATCATCTACCATGTTATTGCTTCAAAGTTTTTCCTACTAAAATGAAATGGGATATGTGGGTCACATGTTATGTTCTGAATTCTATAAATTCAATTTGATTAAGAAATTTAATAATCCGAATTTATTAAACCGGAAATGACCCCAATATTTGCATAATCTATATTACCACCATAATGAAGCAAACTAGAAAAACAAAACCGATTGCTCGATCAGATACTAATGAAAAATCACCGCAAACTATGCGTATATATGGTAAAAGGATTGATCTCTTGTAATAGGATTATTCTTATTTTCCCCTTCCCTTATTATTTTTTTTTTTTGGTGATGATAGGAAAAATAAACAAAAAAGAAAAAAAATCCTTTCTATTCAGCTAAACCTCACAAACATCAGTTTAATGATCTTCATGAGCATGCATACCCTCTTTCATTTCCTTACCACAAGTAATCCACGAGGCCAGACAAGGCAAGGTGTAAACTTTTGAGCCAAAAGGGAGCGGTTTTGGTTCAGGAAAGACAACGAGAGAGTCTGCTTCAATTCAAAGTAGATTGTGCTTTTCACGAGGATTGACAATCTCCATGGGAGAGTCTAAGAAGAAACTATCCTCACAACTAACTTGAGAGTTCATGGTGGCGCTCAAGGTTCCGAAGCACGATTTTTGCATATATTTTGGCCTGAATAGGGGTTGTGGATGCAGCAGCGACACCACGTAAGACTCTCGGTGCACCTGCATTTTGAAGGAGGCTAGAATGGTGCATTGTATGCCGTCCTCCAGGCAACGTAAACTGCAAAATGTATTGTAAAATGAGAATAAAACAAATATATATTTTTTAATTGATAAGATAAAGAGAATAGGTACTTTCCTGCGAAAGAGCAAATGCAGAACAGGACTTTAGCATAGAAGAAGGGTCCCTTAACATTCTGAGAAATCTGTCAATTTCGGCTCCACTGGAGCGAAACATAAAAAAAAAAATAAACAGAACATTTTTAGAATACACAGATGAATCAAGAAGGTAAGCTATGAACATGAAACTTCTGAAAATTTCGTTTCCAGAGATAGGGGAGGTAAGTAAAGTAACTATCTTGCAGAAAACATATAACATAGCACCTAACAAACTTTTTATGCAAATGGAAAATCTTACTTGTATTTATAAAGATGCATGTGAAAATGGATGCTAAAATTTACAAAGCTTCAACAATTGAACCATTCTAGCCTCACCAAATTTTGCAGTATGAAAGGATACACCTGCTATGAAAAGGGTGCTACTGATGTCTATGTCAGAAATATATGCAAAAATTTTGCATTACATTTTGCACCTGCATTTTGAACGACAATGGCAAACTTTTTATGCAATAGCACCCTTTTCTGACATAGACATCAGTAGAGGATATGACCCTTCACGAAATCTCCACATACATGGAAAATCTGAAAAAAAAAAGGATACACCTATGTCGGTTACATATCTGTATCCGACCCTAACACCCTAATCAAAACAAAACAGGCAGGAACTCCTCAAAGTGTTCTTTGGTATTTGCAAGCATACTGCAGCATGCCATTGAGGATCAATACAACCTTGGTGTAAGATTGGCAGCATTTTCATCGTCATATACTTTTTACCCATCAATTTGTTTTCTCAAGCCAATAATTTAAAGCCTGATTTGATTTCCTCCACACAGACTTGTAAAGGCATTTCCTACAAAATGTTCTGAGTAGACATACTGAATTTCATACAAAAATGACAGAACAACGTTCAAAACAGTTGATCTCACCTACAGAAAGGCTGGAATGGTGTTTGAGTCACTTACTAATCAAGTGCAAGCATTAACATTTACAACAAAGTCCAGTTTGGTCTTATTAGTTACTGGTACAAACATCGGTGTTTCAAGAATGCACAAGGGGCAACATAAGCCTCACATCAACAAAGTCTAACGCCTTAGGGTAATTTATAAAGTCCATAGGCTAGCCTCCCTTCAGAAATTTCCTAGTGATATCCACTGCTCTTCCTATGGGGTTGGATCTAGTTGACTATTGAGAGAGAAAAAAAAGGGAGAGATGAATGTGATGACAGATGCCATGGATAGTGACCAGTGCATGTAAGTATCATGTTGTCTACAATAAGTAATTTACTATATGGTAGTAAATAGATTAATACAATATGTAATTTACTACCATAAACTCATTCAAATTTACCAGTTGAATGCCAAATGCTAAGGCCAAGACATTAAAACCTGCATCTTAGATGTCCTGCTTCTTGTATTCTTATGGCTTCTGCTATCTGTGCCAAAGGAGTGGGGACCAATGATGAAGCTGCAGTATGAAAGGATTGTGGATCGTACAATGAGTTTACAAAGCCTTCAACATGCTTTAAGGCGATCCTCCCAACCCCATCCATGTTCAGAGTCTTTGAACTTTCAGATGCGTCTATCCTGTAAATAGTTAAGCCAAAAATTAGATCTCAAAAGTAAATTTTTGAAGCATTCTCCTACCAGTCAATACCACTTTTTACCAAAGCTTAAATATTATTTTTGCTTCATTTTAGACGCTGTCTGGTTGTCCATCCATGAGAACTTGTAGAAAATAGGATCTTTTTATCTATATATTTGAGGCTCCCAATCATTGAAACTGAGAATCCAAATTGCCAACTAGCAAAAAGTAGTTTGACATACCTGCCATCGAATATGTAAACTAAGGCTAATGCAGCCATAAAACGAGCCATTTTTGATATTGATGAAGAGCATAGATGAATGAGAGGTTTAACTCCACCATCTTGTACTATATGGAGAGCATTTTCACGATAAAAGGCCAAATTCCAGAGTGCTCCAGCAGCAGTCTCGTGGACATCCTGAAAACCAATCATATACTAAACCTTAGTTTATGGTTAGAATATTGATAAGAACCTAGGGTTCTATCGAAAGGGAATTCGGAAAACTAACAAGAAAAAGTAAAATTTGATCATTTCGAGGGGATCAACGTTCAAACAATTGCCAAAAGGCTTTTTGTATATTTGATTGTTTGAGAAAAATAGTCATAGGACATTACATATTTATAGGGTCCATAATCCTTGGTATTGTACAAATACCCCTTATTGGCCAAACTCTTGCGTTTGGTTCACGGAATGTAAGATTACCAGTGGGAATAAAAGATTACCAGGGAATAGGATTACTGGGAATGTTGTATTTTGTGTTTGGTTGGTTTAGCAGGAATGTAAGATTACCGTGTTTGGTTAAAGGAATAAAAGATTATTGAAATATATATTTGTAGAAATTAGAGGAATACCTTTTTTTTATTTCTTTTTCAATAATCAAACAGGTTACACATCCCCTAAATATATACATGCTGAAACACCTAATTTCTAGGGATATATACAACTTACCTAGAATAGGATCAAATCTTATCTAAAACAGAAAGAAATAAACAGGAAATAAATATATAAGGGTATGGTAACAAGCTACCAGAATCCCTTAATATATGGAACTGAATATTGATCTGTTTGACTCTAGATTTCCTTAATTTCGGCCCTCTAACATGCAGACAGATATGCATTCAAACTAAACTCCAAATAATTCTACACTCCCCATCAAGCTGGATGCTAAATGTTAATTAACCCCAGCTTGGAACTTAGATCATCAAAAGTCTTTCTTGGTAGAGCCTTAGTAAGAATGTCGGCTGTTTGAAGACATGTGGGTACATATAGCATTTTGATCATCCCTTCCTCTATCTTCTCCTTTATGAAGTGCCGATCAATCTCCACATGCTTAGTTCTGTCATGATAGACTGGATTCTTGGCAATGCTGATTGGTTATCACAGAACATCTTCATAGGTTCTCCACTAGAAATTCTTAATTCCTCTAGTACCCTTCTTAGCCATATTCCCTCACAAATACCATGGGCCATTGCCCGAAATTCAGCTTCTGCACTGCTCCTTGACACCACTGATTGCTTCTTACTTCTCCATGTGACTAGATTTCCCCACACATAAGCACAATACCCTGAAGTTGATCTTCGGTCTTGTATTGATCCTGCCCAATCTGCATCACTGAACACCTCTATGTCTCTTCTTTGATTCTTCTCAAAAAATAATCCTTTCCCTGGTGTTAGCTTCAGATACCTTAGGATTCTATACACCGCCTCCATATGTTCTTCATTTGGATTGTTCATAAACTGACTTACCATGCTGACTGAAAAACCAATGTCTGGTCGTGTGTGAGAAAGGTAGATAAGTTTACCTACTAGCCTTTGGTATCTGCCTTTATCCACCGGTGCACAATTTTCTTTAGTGCCTAATTTTGTTGTTGAATCCATAGGTGTGTCCGCTGGCTTACATCCAAGCATCCCAGTTTCTTTTAAAAGATCCAGTGCGTATTTTCTTTGGGAAACACAGATTCCTTTTCTTGACCTTGCAATTTCCATGCCTAGGAAGTATTTGAGCTGTCCAAGGTCCTTGATTTCAAATTCCTTAGCTAGAAGACCTTTGGTAGTGTTGATTTCTTCCTCACAATCTCCTGTTAGGATAATGTCATCCACATATACAATGAGGATAGCCAGTTTTCCTGCAAATGAGTGTTTGACAAACAAGGTGTGATCTGATTGACATTGAGAATAGCCATGATTTTTTATTACCTTGGTAAATTTCTCAAACCAAGCTCTTGGTGATTGCTTGAGCCCGTATAATGATCTTTTAAGTTTGCAAACTTTGTTGTCAGTTTTCGGTGTCTCAAATCCTGGAGGGATTTCCATGTAAACTTCCTCAGCTAAGTCCCCATTTAGAAAAGCATTCTTGACATCTAGTTGGTGAAGGGGCCAATCAAGATTTGCAGCTAGTGATAGGAGAACCCGAACTGTGTTTAACTTGGCTACTGGGGCAAATGTTTCTTCATAGTCGATTCCATATGATTGAGTGAATCCCTTTGCCACTAGCCGTGCCTTGAAACGATTAACACTTCCATCTTCATTGTACTTGATTGAGAATATCCATTTGCATCCTACTGGCCTTTTTCCCGATGGTAATTTTGATATTTCCCAAGTGTCATTCTTTTCCAGTGCATTTATTTCTTCAAGCACAGCAGCTTTCCACTCAGGAGATCCAAGAGCTTCTTGTATGTTATTTGGGACCTGAGTGCTGTCGAGGTTGGCAACAAACGACTTGAATTTTGGTGACAGGCCTTCATATGATATAAAGGTGTATATAGGATGTTTTGTGCAAGTTCTAACCCCTTTCCTCACGGCAATAGGATAGTCACTGTCATCACCAGTTAGTTTACTCTGTGAGGGCTCAGGATTAGGATTACCTAAAGGATCTTCACAAGATCTTGGACCAGGATCAGATTCTTGGTTTGCTGCAGAGGTGCTGGATCTTCACAAGATCTTGGACTAGGATCAGATTCTTGGTTTTGCTGCAGAGGTGCTGAAGGTTCCATCTCCTTTTGGTTCTTTCTCCTCCGTGAATAGGTAATCAACTCTTTATTAGTTGTTGATTTACTAATGTCCAGATTTTGGTATGAAGATTCTAGGGAGAGATGTTGTTGAGGAGAAATAGAGTTAGAATTTGGAGAGCTGAACTGATTCATCAATATCCCAAATTTGATATTCCTGGGTAAAATTGGTCTCCCCTGAATATCAGATTTGGGGTAGTAGGGCTGGTGCTCAAAAAATGTAACATCCATGGAGTGGTAGTACTGTTTAGTGACCGGTGAGTAGCACTTATACCCCTTTGAGTTGGAGAGTACCCAAGGAAGATACACTTAAGTGCTCTAGGATCAAATTTATCCCTTTTATGTTGATGGACATGAACAAAGGCTGAACACCCGAAAACCTTGAAGGGAATAGTGTTGATGAGACGTGAATTTGGGAAAAACTGAAGTAAGGTTTGACAAGGACTTTGAAAGTTGAGAATCATAGATGGCATCCGGTTTATGAGGTATGCTGCAGTGAGAATAGCTTCACCCCAGAAATGTTTCGGTACATGAGTAGAAAACATAAGAGATCTTGCAACATCTAGAAGGTGCCGATTTTTCCTTTCAGCAATTCCATTTTGCTGAGGGGTATTGACACATGAGCTTTGATGAATGATGCCATGACTCAAGAGATAATCATTGAGTATGAATTTGAAGTATTCTTTGGCATTGTCAGTTTTCAGAATTTGGATTTTGGCTTGGAATTGAGTTTGTATCATGGTGTTGAAGTTTTTGAAAATCTGACCTGCCTCTGATTTTTCTTTCATGAGAAAGACCCATGTAAGCCGAGTGTGATCATCAATAAATGTAATGAACCAATGGGAACCAGTCACATTTTTAGTTTAGATGGCCCCAAACATCACTGTGAATCATTGAAAAATGATGGGATTCTTTGTAAGATTGGTTGGGATAAGAATTACGGACATGTTTAGAGAATTGACAAATTTCACACTTGAACTCATTTGGATTTTTATTATGAAATAGAGAAGGAAACAGCTTCTCAAGATACAAGAAATTCGGATGGCCTAATCTAGTGCCATAACATGATTGCACTATCATTATTAGAACTGACAGAAAAAGAAGTAGGATTACCAGACACTAGACAATCGGACTGATAAGTTGTGCCTTGAGGAGGATTTGTAACCTCGAGAAGATAGAGTCCCGAGCACATTTTAGCACTGCCAATCGTCTTCCCCGAGTCCAAGACCTGAAATTCACACATGGTTGAACCAAATTTAGTCACACAATTCAGGTCTCGAGTAAGTTTACTAATGGACAGTAAATTGCAATTCAAATTTGGCACAAGAAGGACTGATTCAAGTGTAATATTCTCTGATACTTTAATAGAACCTGTACCAACCACTTTTGAGAGTGAACCATCGGCTATTCTGACCGTTAAGTGTTTATCACATGGACTGTAAGTAGAAAATAGGTCCTCATTTCCAGTCATATGGTCTGAAGCTCCAGAATCTATAATCCATGGATTTGACGTCTCTTTTTTAACACTGAGAGCGCTTAAAAAATTACCTTTTTGGGCTAAGGACCCAGTACCAACCACAGTGGAGGTTTGGGCATGCAAAGACTGGTTGAACAGATTCTGTAGAACCTCTAATTGTTCCTTGCTGAATGGAGTGAGTTCAGGTGAAGGTTTGTCATCCATTGAGGCAAAATTGCCTCGCCCCTCTTTGTCGTTGGCTGACCGAGAAGACTTCCAATCTGCAGGCTTACCATGAATTTTCCAGCAAGTGTCCCTGGTGTGACCAGGTCGGCGGCAGTGATCACACCAAGGGCGTCCTTTCTTTGGTTTGGTGTCATTGTTGTTGTAGGAGTTCCCTCTAACAGCAAGGGCTGAGCTCTCAAGACTTGTCATTGGTTCTTGAGAGCCCATCATGATTTTCTTTCGACTCTCCTCTCTCCGGACTTCAGAAAAAGCCTCCCGGATATTAAGTAGAGGTTTGGATCCCAAGATTCTTCCTCTTACTTCATCTAGATTTTTATTTAATCCAATCAGAAACTTATATATTCTCTTCCGTTCAATGATCTGTCTATACCTGATTCCATCATCTAGGCAGCTCCAATTGTGCTCCTCGAACAAGTCCAGCTGTTGCCAATAGCGATTGAGTGTATTGAAGTACTGGGTTACTGTTAAATCTCCTTGACGGAAGTCATGGAGAACACTCTCCACTTCAAACAACTCAGGTGTATTCTCATTGTTGGAATACGTTTCCTTTTGCAGCCTCCCAGATTTCCCTTGCTGTTCTGTAGAGTAGAAAGTTCTCTCCGATTTCATTTGTCATAGAATTGATGAGCCATGACATGACCATATTATTCTCGGAATTCCAGATTTTGAACTTCTCATCATCCTGGCTTGGCTTGGCAGCCACTCCTTTGAGATAATCATCCTTTCCTCTTCCGCATATGAACATCATAACAGAGTGGGACCATTGGAGATAGTTGTTCCCATTCAGTTTGTGTCCTGTAATGGGCATGGGATTGCTATCTCCACTACTGTTACTGGAGGCCATGGCTACCCGTATTTGGTTATATGAGGGATTTAGGGTTCAGAGAATGCTCTGACACCATGTAGAAATTAGAGGAATACCTTTTTTTTATTTCTTTTTCAATAATCAAACAGGTTACACATCCCCTAAATATATACATGCTGAAACACCTAATTTCTAGGGATATATACAACTTACCTAGAATAGGATCAAATCTTATCTAAAACAGAAAGAAATAAACAGGAAATAAATATATAAGGATATGGTAACAAGCTACCAGAATCCCTTAATATATGGAACTGAATATTGATCTGTTTGATTCTAGATTTCCTTAATTTCGGCCCTCTAACATGCAGACAGATATGCATTCAAACTAAACTCCAAATAATTCTACAATATTTGACCAAATTGTCCTTATTATATATTTGTTTTTTAATAAGTTGGAAAATATTTATATATATTTTTTAAAAAATTTAAATTCATAAAATTTATATATTTTTTTTACAAAATTGAAAATATATAAAAAGGTTTAATAAAAGGGTAAAATTTTATTTTAGCCCTTGAACTCCATATAAAATTTTAATTATAGATTTTTTTGTAAATCTAAAATAGTTTAAGGATAAATTTTTAATTTAACCTTCGTAGAATTTTTATTATTCAATGACAAAATAAGGATATTTTTGAAAGAAAAAAATTTTAAGGGCATTTTACTCCAAAACGCCGGTAATCTAACAATACCTAAGGAAAGGGAGGTAATGACATTCCCGGTAATATACCCAAAAAAATCTACTACTAGTAATGTAAGATTACCGGGAATGACATTCCTAGCCAACCAAACGGTAAAATTAATCTAACCTGTCAATTTACATCAACTTTAAATTCTCAGGGCCAAAAGCAATTGCACTAACAGTAACATAGAGAATATTCATAAAACCACAGTTAATGCTAGAAAAATCTTAAACTAATTTCGAAAATAATGAATAATCTAAGCAAGCAAAGAGTGAGAAGCTTACTTCAATATCTGAACGTGCTAAGACAATAAGTGGAGCAATACCACCTTGTCTTCCGATAGCAATGCTGCATTAACAGAAAATACAGCAATTAGAATCATAAATTGCTAAGATACATCCTTCAAGAAAAATTAATATACACTGCTATAATGTATATTGAAAAGGCTATCTATAACCAAAAAAATAAATCGAAAAGAAAAAAGATTGATTCTTTCAGTTTGACATAAACTGAGGCCTAAATAATCGTAGATCAAACATTTTGTCAAGACATGGAACTCCGAAGATGAATTACGTCTATAGTTTTAAGGTTTACACACATGTAGTAAATCCTTCAAACTCTAAAGTAAATAGCATGAACAAGGTCTAGGTTACTCGCATTTGGTTTACAAGAAAAAATCATTTTACAAGTATACATCACCAAAGCAAAGGGGAACTTTCACCTAAGAACTTGTTCAGCAAATATTATCACGTAAGTTGAAACATTAAACAATTACAGTCAAGAAGTTTCCTCAAATACCTGTTACTTTCTGATACCGACAATCCCCAAATGGCACCTGCAGCTCTTTCTTGAAGACTTCGGGAAGCACTCGAGCTAGATTGAGCGAGGGCAACCTTATGATGCAAACCAAAATAAAAGTTTCAACAACCTGCAAGAGCTGATAGCCGAAAAATACATATATTTGTGCAAAACCACAACCTAGGTGAGGGTTATCAGTTCAAGAAGTGGAATCATAAATTTTATTAATATTTGGAGTTTTTATAGATGGTGTTGCGAATAGAATCATCAAGGCAGAGAACATTAACCTAAAAGCTTCTCGATATCAAACAAAATTATCTTTAGCGCCTGCATTTCCTTCCATTTTTTATCATCAAACACGCCTATGAAGCTTCTCAATATCAAACAAAAATACCTAGTATCGCCATAGATAATGCAGCAATGATGCCACATCCATTATAAAGAAAAGAACGATAATTATAATATGAGTCTCTTGAACTGCTGCTCTGCATATTAATTATTACCTTATTTTTTATGTTTGAAATCATGCATATTGAGTCTATTTTAATTGATTCAAGTCATAAATTCTACAATAATTCATAAGAAAATATAAAGAGGAGAAAAGAAAGGCAAATTGACAATCTTGTCAACATTCATATTGTTAGAATAAAAGTAATTAACTGCAAACCAGAAATTTGCATGGTCAAAACCATTTAATAGCTTTTAGCAGGCAACGGAATACTTGAGATAATTTAATAATTGATGCATCATATGTCAAACAAAATAGAATAATAGTTTACTTGAAATTTGCAAATATGAAATGATCAAAGTTTTGACAAGCAATTCATCATACCAGTGCCTCAACACCACCAGCTGCCGCAATTGCTTCTCGATTTTTGTCATCAAATGACAAATTCCACAAAGCACCAGCAGCTTCCTGCCTGCTTGTGAGTAGGTATGAATAAATGAAATGGCATTTGGAAAGATGGATTTATGAGTCGAGCATAGCTTAGTACATGCAATTACTTACATGAGTATTTAAGGTAAAATTCCAAGTGCATAGTCGACAGTAATAAATGTTTAAAGCATGCAAGATGCATTGACATTTACTTGAGTTTCACTCAGAGGTGGTTAGGATTGCCGCAGGCGAAATGAAGCAAAGTAGATTACCTAACACCTTCATTTTGAGAAAAGGTAAGTTGCACCAGGGCTTCCAGCGCACCTTCCTCTTGTCCAATAGCAGCATTATTGCTGTTGCTATCCCCGTGAGCAGCCAAATTAGCCAAGGCACGAGCAGCCTAGCCAAGAGGAGAAGAAAGTTCTATTTAGCAAGAAAAATTAAAATCTATCTTTTAAAACATTAGTTTGCATAGAAATACATAATTAAGCTGATACTCAAGAATGGTTGGGAGGCAACTGAATGAAGTTAAGGGAGAAGTCTTCACCTTAAAAAGACATTCTATTTGCAGGCATATTATTGACCAGGGATGGCACGCCAACTTAAAATTGAAATATAACAAATTTTCAAGTCTAAAATAAGAAACTTGATAAGGGATCCAGCTAAATATTGCATTACCCCATTCCACGCTGCATAATCATACAGTAGAAGGAGCTATAATCTTTAGGCATTCTGAGTGGAAGTATTAGATGCATTTTCATGGTAAATGCAAAGGTACTCGCTGTTTAGTGTCTTAGTTTACTTGGCATTATATCAGCCTAGAATGGAAGTGTAGATAACCGAGAAACCCGAGAGATATGGAAGAGATAATTTTTCTGAATTGCATAAATAATCTGGGAAATACAAGTCTATTTATATACAATTTATGGAGTAAGTTTCCTACTAGAACTAGACTACCGTATAGTATTTTATTCTAATACAACATGCTAATAGTTAGGATTAGAATTAGAATTAACTTAAAATACTAGGTAATCCTATACAATCGTACAACTCACACTCCCCCTCAAGCTGGGGAGTAAATGCTGAAAAGACCCAGCTTGGATACGATCTCATCAAAGGTGGTTTTGGGACGCGCCTTGGTGAGGATATCCGCCCATTGGTTTTTGGTAGGAATAGGGTGAGCATCGATCGAGTCGAGTCAAAAAAATTTTGAGTTATTCGAATTGATGAGTTGTACTTTACAACTTGAACTTAACTTGAAATTTTCTCGAGTCGAATCGAATTATTCGAGTTTCTATACTAATTTTGTTATAATTATTTATAGTATTATGGCAAGAATTTGTTTCAATTTTTTGACTTTCTCTAACCATATAAGATATATATATATATATATATATATTATATTATTTTCACATTATAATTTATGTAATATATAAATAAATCTAAAATTATAAAATATATTCATAATATTATATTTCAAATAAAGTATTTTGAGGGTAAAATATTGATGAGAGTACAAAGGAGTCAATGAATTGATGGAAGAAAGAATTGACAAACAACTGTAGTCAAAAGACCAAATTGAATAAAATGCAAAGTTAAGGAACTAAATAAAAAAACATAGAGTACATTTTTAGTAAAAAAGTAGAAATTGAAGTTACATAGGTATTCTATTGTGATATATGAGCATGTGGTTCAAATTTGGTAAAAAAACAGACTTAAAATAAAGGATGAATTGAAAAATAAAGAAATTATGAAAAATTAAGGGACTAAATTGAAAAATAAAAAATTATTATAAAAAAGATGAATTGAAAGTACATATGTATTCTATGATGTTTTAGGAACATGTGGTTAAAATTTGGTCAAAAATGGACTTAATGAAGGAGGAATTGAAAGAATAATGAAATCAGAGACTAAATCGTAAAACTGTCAAAATACTTAGTCAGATTTTTTATTTTTCCAGTAACTCGATATTTCAAAATTTCAACTCAACTCGAACTCGAAAACCAATTTGTTAATTTGAGTTAAACTCAAATACCTCGACTCGAATAATTCAAAATTGAAAAAAAAATCGATTTTTCGAGTCAAGTCGAATTTTGTTTACCCCTAGGTAGGAACATAATTGAGTCTTACTAGTCCACCATTCACCTTTTCTGAAATGAAATGTCTATCAATCTCCACATGCTTTGTTTGATCATGATGAACTAAATTCTTCGCAATACTTATTGTCGATTTAATGTCACTTTGAAGTTCAAGATACTTGTTTTTACATAAACCCAACTCAGTTAACAGTCTTTGTAACCAAATTCCCTCACAAATACCGAGTGTCATTGCTTTATACTATGCTTATGCACTACTTTGAGAGACCAAAACTCGCTTTTTACTTCTCCAAGTGACAAGATTTCCCTAAACAAACGAACAATAACCGGTTGTAGATCTTATATCAGTTAATTCTCCTGCCCAACTCGAATCAGAGAAGATTTTCACTATTCTATCTTTACTCTTCTTGAAAATCAATCCATGTCCGGTGTCATTTTCAAGTATCTCAGGACATTTCACAGTCTCCATATGTTCTCTTGGATCGTTCATATATTGACTCACAATACTGACAAAAAAGGCTATATCAGGCCTGGTAAGTGATAAGTAGATGAGTTTGCCTACTAGCCTTTGGCACTGTTCTTTTTTACCGAACTTCCCAATTCTTCTCTTCTTAACTTAAGATTTGCATCCATGGGTGTTTCGGCTGGCTTGCATCTCATTATTCTTGTCTATGATAGTATATCTAGAGTGTACTTTCTTTGATTGATTACTATCTCTTCTTTCGACCTTGCAACCTTCATGCCTAAGAAATATCGCAAATTTATCAAGTCTTTCGTCCCAAATTCCCTTGCTAGTAACTTCTTCAATCTTTCTATCTCCACAGAGTCATCACCAGTTATGATGATATCATCTACATAGACTATCAAAATAGTCTTCTTGTTTAAAGTTGTTTTGACGAACAAGGTACGATTCGACTAACTTTGCTTGTATCCATCCTGAATAATTACCTTCGTGAATCTTTCAAACCACACTCTTGGAGATTGTTCGAGTCCATATAAAAACTTTAGTAGTCAACACGCTTTTCCTATACCACTCTTCACACCTGGTGGGATTCGCATATACACTTCCATCTCTAAGTTTTCGTTTAAAAAGACATTCTTGATGTCTAGTTGATGAAGCACCCAGTCCTCATTGACTACCAACAATAGTAGCACCATCACAGTGTTCAATTTTGCTACAGGGATAAACGTTTCTTGATAATCAACTCCTTGGGACTGAGTAAACCCTTTCGCCACTAGTCTAGCCTTGTATCGTTCAATACTGCCATTCACTTTATATTTCACCGTGAACACCCATTTACAGCCGACAGGTTTCTTGTCTTTCGAGAGATCAAACATGACCCACGTGTTGTTGTTTTTGAGTGCGATTAGTTCTTCCTCAACAGCTTTTTTCCACTTAGGGTCCTTCAATGCTTCTTCCACCCTATTTGGAATGATAATATTGTCTACATTGGCTGTAAAATTCTTGAAACAATGCATTAGTTTTTCATATCCAACAAATCTATGAATTACATGGTTTGTGCATCTCCTAATTCTCTTCCTCTGAGCAATCGGCAAATCACTGTTATCAATCAAGGCATTTAACTCATTAGAGGGCCTCGAGTTACCTTCTTCATCTCCCGAGGAATTCGGGCTTTGTTATGGTTCATGAGAGTATTCATGATGTGTGGGAAACTCGAGTTGAGGTTCAGAAGTAGGCCCACGCACTAATTTTTTTCTTCTCTTGTAAAAAAAACAATTTGGTATGTTCTATTTGAGGCGAAGTGGGCTAGTTTGGTGCTGTTGGTCGGTCTAGGTGGGATGGACTTGGTAAATTTTTTGGTTTTGTCGAGTTCGGCGATGCTGGCTAGTAAAAAAGGAGCATGGTTTTCGGTCCAAGGATAGTTGGTTTGGTGGCATGGCTAGTTGGTTCAAATGTGGTTGATTCGATGTCGTTGGTTGGTTCACATAAGATGTATGAAGTAACTAAAATTCACTATACGACTCCCCCTGAATTACAGTTTTACGGAAAAAATGAGTTTTCTCAAAGAATGTGACATACATTGTAACAAAAAATTTCTTAGTTTGAGGACAATAACATCGAAAACCCTTTTGAGTGGACGAGTAACCAAGGAACGCATACCAAAATGCTCGAAGATCTAACTTGGATCGAGAAGGAACATTATTATGTGCAAAACCAGTACAACCAGACTCAAAGTGGTAAAGAGAAAGCCATATGTTTAAATTTGGGAAAATGTTGAAGGAACACCTCTAGTGGAAACTGAAAGCGCAAGGGTTTGTTAGGTAGTCGATTAATTAAGTATGTAGCGGTTAAAAGAGCATCCCAAAAAGAATGACGAATGTCCGTAGAGAACAAAATAGAACAAGTGACCTCAAGAAGATGCCAGTTTTTCTCTCAGCTACCCCATTTTGTTAGGGAGGTTTAACAAATGCATTTATATGAATAATCCCTTTTTCCTGAAAGAAAGAACTCAAAATTTTGGCAAAATACTCAATGCCATTGTCAAAATGAAATATTTGGATACAACTCTGAAATTAAGTTTCAACCATCTTATGGAATAGTTTAAAGTATCGCTAGCCTCAAACTTAGCTTTCATGAGGTATGTCTAAGTGGTTCGAGTAAGATCATTGATGAAAGAGATAAACTACCGGAATCCATTTAAAGTTTCTACTCGGGATGGTCCCCAAATGTCACTGTGAATCATTACAAATGGTTTGGATGATGTAACACCCTAAACATCGGGTCAGTGATAAAAATGTAAGAAATTAAAATTTAGTGGTTAAATTGGAATAAGTTGAAAAGTTCAATGATTAATTTTGGAAAATTTTGTTTAGGGCTTATTAGCAAAGATGGAAGATTGAAAGGGCAAAGAGGTCTTTTGGCTGGAAATGAATTTAAAATTCATTTTTAATGAGATATTTAACATGTGGGTAATTTGATAAAAAAGATATCTCTGGAAGCTTGGTTTCTTCTCCTTCTCTTCCCGTGAGCTTCATTTGCAAAGGTGAGTTACTTTCAAGTTGGTTGGTTCTTCAAATTTTGGTTTGGTTATGAATTCTTAGGTGATATATAAGCTTAAGCAAAACTTTAGGTGGATTAAAACTAAAAGATGAGTGAATTAATGATGAATATATAAAATGGGTCTTTAAGGGAATTGTTGATATGGCTTAGTTTTTAAATTTCTATTGATAAATTTGACTTGTCAAGTGTCTAATTAAGGAGTTAGAATATTTAGAAAGGATTTAGAAACATGTTTGAATAAATGACATGATTTTTAGTTTTAAGAATTCCATAGAAAAATTTGGATGTCATAAGAGGATTATTGGAAATATGTTGATTAGGATAAGTGTTAATGAGTTTGAGGAGTTGAATGGAGCTCAGAGTAGGAAGTTTAGACGAATTTGGAAAAATTCGAAGTGAACTAAATGAAATCTGGGCAAGAGGTATCGGTACTGGAAGAACAGTACCGATACTATAGTGTTAAATCGAATGAAAAAGGTTGAATTCAATAAACAGTATCGGAACTAATTGAATTAGTATCGATACTGAAGTGGGATATCGATACCAAGAGTAAGGTATCGATAATATTATTAAGTTTGAGATTCCATAATGCCAAAATGGTATCGGTACTGATGGGGTATCGATACCATAGAGGAGAAGTATCGGTACTATAGGAGGGGTACCGATACTAATGCCTTGGAAATTTAAAGAGAGAGTTTTAGTTTCGTCTTTGTAAATGTTAATTTGGTTATACATTAATGTTAAGTGGTATTGATATTGGATATATCTATGTGTAGATTTGGATCAAAAGCGTATCGATCAAAGGGATTTGCCGAAGTGATTTAGTGAAAGATAAAAAGATATCGTTTAGGACTTCAGTGTGGCAAAGGTGAGTGCAACTCATTTGATTTATATTAGATTTGAGGGCGGCTTGCGATAAGCCAACCTCAGAGTTTTCGATCGAAAACCTTTCTATTTTTTTATGTTATATTTTTACAATGTTTTATTCATGTTATACTACTTAAGCTATGTTTTGATGTTTATATGTACATGATTTATGAAAATGTGATATGTGAATATGCGTATACGAAAATGCTCGATGTGAAAGTGCCTATGTGAACAAGATGCACTCTAAATAATAAAATGATAAATAATTATGTGGTTAAAAGCCAAGGTATATGTATGAGGAATTAGAGGTATAGTTGACATGCCAAGAGTCGAAGGTTCTATGTGGTCCTTCGAGACAAAACTATGTGGTCTTTCGGGACAAAACTATGTGGTCCTTCAGGACAAATATGTGGCACTTCGGTGCAAATTATGTGAGTTGTGATGACAGCATTAATACACAACCTCAATGTACTCAAATACCTAGAGTTCTCAGTACTATGCATTGGGCTATTGAAAACAAAGTTGTATAAACCGAACAATGTGTAAAAGTATACATTCTTGTTATGAAAAGCAATTTGAATCCCTTATGAAATGTTTCTATTAAATTATAAAAAATTACAAAGATTTATTTGACTCGTACTTGCCACATTGAGTCAACGACTTAGCGTATGATTGTTTCACACGTAGGTTTGAAGAAAGCAGAAGATTAAAGATAGGCGAGGACAATTTACTACTGCAAAAGATCAGATCAGAACAAATTAAAGCGTAGGTTTCTTGTTACTTGTAAATTGTTGGCATGCATTACAAGCTTTAAATTGTAATGCTCTGATATATATTTTGTAAGCATACACTTTTTGTAATTATGTAAATTATTAAGTATTTTATTTAAATGTGAATGTGCTTTTTCATTATTTATTTTAATTCAAGGGTTCCACCATTTTAATACAAATAAAAATCTAAATTCTCCACTACTTTTTAAGAGTCAATGATTTGAAAAGTCAATGTGATACCTCGGATTTATATCCGGGTTGGGTACGGGTGTTACAGATGATTTGTATGGCGAAGCTGGATAAATGCTTTTTGTTTGTTTTGCAATATGACAAATATCAGAAGAAAATGATTTTGGACTTTTATTGATAAATAAAGGAGGCAACAACTTTGCAAGATAAAAGAAACTTGGGTGTCCTAAGCGAAAATTTAATAACATAACATCGGTGGAGGTATCTAACAAGGAGGTTTGTGATGCAAGACTTGGAGGGATATGTAATGTGATAGGTAAGGTTACCGGAAAGAGGTAAAGGCCCCCACAAAGATTAGCACTCCAATCACCTTCCCCGAACTCGAATCCTAAAATTCAAACATATCGGAGTTAAATATCGTAGTACAGTTTAAATCGGTAGATAACTTACTTATGGAAATAAGATTACAGGCAAGATTGGAAACATAAAGAACGTGTGGTAGTAGAATGTCTGGATTAATCCAAACGAACCCATATCTGGCAACACGCGAAAGGGAACCATCTGTTGTTCGAATCTAAGAAATAGATGAGTTTCCATTGAAGGATTGAAAGAGACGAAGATCACATGTCATATGATCACTTGTTCTAGAATCTACAATCCATATAGGAGTGTCAGATTTGTGAGCCAAAGTAGCACGAGAGATGTTACCTGCAAGAGAGGAAGATGTCGGTAAAGGAGGATGTAGTTGGCCAAAGAGCTTCTGGAATTTTTCTATTTGTTTCGTACTAAACGAACTTCCCTCCAATCCATGGACAAGGCATAATTACCTTGAGCATCACGCTGTTGATGCTTCTTTGAAGATTTTCCATCATTCGGTTTGCTGTGTAGTCTCCAACAAGTGTCCCTCACATGACCAACCTTCTTACAGTAATCACATAAAGGTCGCCCTTCTTAGGTCAAAGGTTATTTTAAGAGTGAGTGAGTAGTGCAGGTCCTTTAGTGGACACAGAATCAGGTAGCATAATGTTGCACTAACTCTCTCCACGTCTAACTTCAAAAACATCCTCCCAAACCGAATGAAGAGGTTTAAGCCCTAAAATTCTTCCTAAACTTCATTAAGATCCTGATGCAACCCTGACAAAAATTGAAATATTCGATACTTTTCCACGATTCGTTTAAACAATCGAGCATCATCCACACATCTCCATTCATCAAATTCGAATAGATCCAGTTGTTGCCACAACCTCGACAGGAGAGTGAAGTATTGGGTCACAGACATACTTTCCTTTTTGAGATTAGTGAGCTGACATTCAATCCCGAATAGTACAGTCGAATTTTCCAGATTAGAATAAGTAGCCTTGGCAACTCTCCAAATTCTAGTAGTTGTCTCATAGAGCAGAAAGTTTTCGCCCACCTCTGGAGTCATAGAGTTGATGAGCCATGACATAACCATGGTATTTTCACTAAGCCAATTCAAATATTTGGGATCATCAGTAGCAAGTATTGGTGTTGACACCAAGAGGAAGTGTTGTTTGCGCTAGCCAATGATATAGAGACGAATCGATTGGGACCAAGGGATGTAATTGTCACCATTCAACCAGTGACAAGTTATAGATGCAGAGGTGGTCTCGACGAGAACCGGATGAGGCGAGGAAGAGAGGACCTCCGAGATGCCATCCGAGGAAGAAGCAGTAGTCATGGTTGACGTCGGCTGGATGGAGAACTTATTGAATCAAGAGCTAGGGTGAGAACTAGTTTCATCCAAACCCTAAGAGTCGCAACAAACAATGACAGAGGAAGCAATGGACTGCCAAAAACGGACTTTGAAGGCTGTTGAGAACGACAACTGGAGAAGTGGCGTCAACGAATAAGACTGTGAGGAGGACTAACGATCAACAGCGGAAGCAAACGAACGAGGATAGCCGCTGGCAACTGATACCATGTATATAACCGAGAGACCCGAGAGATATGGAAGAGATAATTCTTCTCAATTGTATAATCAATCTGGGGAATACAAGCCTATTTATATACAATTTATGGAGTAGGTTTCCTACTAGAACTAGACTAACTTATAGTATTTTATTCTAATACAACATGTTAATAGTTAAGATTAGAATTAGAATTAACTTAAAATACTAGGTAATCCTAAACAATCCTACAACTCACAGGAAGACATTAATAGTATTGGCCAATTCTTTAATCTCCTCCTAGTTATAAAAATGCAGATCCATAGTCTTCTAAGGAATTCTAAAATATCTAGTAACAATTATCCTAAAAAAATTAACTTATCACTGATAATGTTATTTAAAAAATCCATCACCCATCTGGAAAAGATGATTTTTTTCCATTCTCAATGTACAAAAGAACGTAAAACCAGAATACCTGCTCTTGCACTCCATCAAATTTGCAATTGCGAGCAAGCATCACCAAAGCATGGATTCCACCTGCTACAGCCACCTCCAAGCTGCATTTCTCATCAGCTCCCAAGTTTGCCAGTGCTCCAGTTGCACGTTCCTTCATTTAGCAAAGCTGATATTTTAGCTCCAACAATAATACAAATATGTGCAGGAATGAACAGTTAAAGATGCATACGAGGAGCCCTTCACTGCTGGAAGGCCATTTGAATATAAGATCAACTAAAGCTTTTATACCACCGGCCTTTGCAATGGCACCCTGAAAAAGGAAGAGTTGAATAGATATGAAAATTTTGAAGATAACCACCAATAAAATTCTTTCCGTTTTCACAACCTTATGGTCATCCCCAACAGAAAGATTCCACAAACCCCCAGCAGCTTCTTCAGCTACCAATCTGTTCATCGATTTTGCTAAGTTGGCAAGAATATTGATTCCTCCACTTCCAGCAACGGCTTTTGCAACTTTTGAATCTATGGACAAGTTTGCTATGGCCTGAATCACAACATCAAAATGTTACAAGTCCATTATCCAATCAAAACTCATACAACAAATTCCAAAGTGACGAATTATACTAAAGCATAACTTCTAAAACAGAATTTATGAAAAGTTTAATATCTAAGTTCAGTTGTAGACTACACCTTGTAGTGACTTCTAACGTTGCTTATAGTTCATGAAACGGTAAAGATTCTTTTAAACGAATAGGATCATATTTAGTATATTCACAGAAAAAGAGGTAATTCATACTTTAGCTGCTTCAGACTGAAGCCCCTCTTGACAAGATCTTGCAAGGTTCAAAAGCACCCTTATTCCATCTCCCCGTAAAATTGCCTCAGCTCTTTTGCAATCAACAGTTGCATTTTCATCATCAATGACTACGAAGGTTGCAACAGCCGTAGCTGCTCTTTCTTGAACTTCCTCCTGTGAACTTTGCAACAAACTGAGTAATACGGCTGCCCCTTGTGAAAGCCAGAAATCATCAAACTCCTTCAGATTGTTTTCAGCGATACGCAAAAGTGATTGCGAAAAGACACATTCAATCCAAACAACAATTTCATCCACGTTTTTATCTCTATTCACTAATCTCCTCCAGTACTGAAACACATCAGTAACATTTTTAGAACTGTCGGCAAATAATGATGTCACTCCCTTGAACATGTCACTCAGAAAAGTAAGCAATATTTTGCCTTTATGATTATACATCGAGATACTGTCAACTTCACCCTCAAAAACAGGGCAATTCAAGGCGGACAATACTTTCAAATTTTGGGACGATGACAGAAATCCGGTAACAGCACTTAGATTTATGTCAGTTCTAGAAACATCTAAACATATCAAGCTAGGCAATCTACTCCAAACGTGTGCTACAGATCCCCATTTCAAGTTTCTAGTCCCTGCAACTGATAAAAATTTAACCGAATTCAAGTTTCCAAGAGCCACTTCATCAATGTTGTCTGATTCCACAAACCCAACATCCTTTAACTGCCTACAATGCTTAGCCAAAGCATTAATAGCATCTCCATTAATGTCCTTAACACCTGACATCCAAAGCCTCTGCAACCTTGGGCAGCAATATGCAAGTGCTTTTATTGCATCACAGCTGATTCTCTCACAAGCATCTGGACCAAGATGGACACTCTCAAGCATCTCATGTCTTGCAGCTATCACTGAAAGTGCAGCATCTGTAATGTCTCGACAGAGATCACCACTAATTTCTCGAAGTTTCCTTGCTTGAAGACTAACTATTGCATCTGTTGACCCAGCTGCATGAAATTTAAGTCTCTGGAGATTCTTGCATCGTGGGGAGAGTGAGACAGCAGCTGCAGTGTCAAATTTGTGAGAGCGGAGGTCCAGCGACCCCCATAAACAGGGCGAAGAACCTAAAAGCCTAAATGTTTGACAAGTTGATGCCAAGCTAGCTCGGTCTCGATAGTGTAAATAAGAGAAGAGTTGAATAACTGTATCATCAGGCAAGGTTGTCCAATCAACTCCAGAAATAGTAGCTGAACTCAAACATCCACACTTAGGGGTCTTCGAACTAATGTTTGTCTGATCTTTTCCCCGACAATATTCACGTTTCTGCCTCACTCTTCGATTCATATCCTACGAGTTCTTCAGCACTGCAAATGAAGAAAAAGAAATAATGATTCTTAGTCAATCCGGTTAGAAAATCTCAATGACTCAATGATCACTCAATAAAATCACAAATTCTGGGGGGAGGGGGAAGCTTGAACTCCAATTGAAGAAACCAAGCAAAATTTTAACTAAACATGCTTCTTCTTTTCTTTCAAAAACTAAAAACCCAGTAAAGAAGAACCTCAATTTTCAAGTTATAGACTATAACAAAATAATCCAATTTTTAAAGAAATAAGCAATGAACATAATGATCAATCTTGACTTTCAGTAAAAAAAATCCAATCAAACAAGTTTCATTTTCCACCCACCTCAAAGCTATTGAACCCCATTAATAAAAAGACCTCAAAAATCAACCTTCAATGAAAAGAGTCATCTCCTCGATCCCCAGACACCAGGAAAGTCAAATTCTCCAAGAACTCAATAACCCCAGAACAAAAAGGGAAAGAGAATTGAATTTTGAACATAAAAAAGCAGTAAATGTACCTTCAAGGCAGCAGAAGATTGGTGCGGAGGAAGATTCTTTAAAACTGAATAGAAGCTGAACATATATAAAGGCTCAGTAAAACCATGGCAGTTAAAAAGTAAAAGCAGCAGTTAATTACAGCCAACAAAGATAAACATCACTTACATTTTGACTCCGTTACTACTCTATAGAATCCCTTCTTTTTTTCCATACGATAATCACAATAGTATTGTAATATAATATTTTCCTGTGATATCGGTATGATATACGTTGTCTAGCGCTTTTCTCTTGGACGAATGGAAGTCAATCGAGAAGCCCATGTTGTGTGCTCCCATTATTCTCCCTTCTCGATTCAGTACATCATGGAGTTATCTCACGAAAGATGGGTTAATATAAGATTAATATACAGCGTTATCGAAAATATAATAAGATATTTAATAAAGTTGGATTAGCGCTACTGAAAATATTGTGTAATAATAATATTTTAGGTGGAAATCATGAAGAAATATTAGAAATTTTGGTAACCGATAAATTTAGCTTGTTGGTAGGTATCGATATCTTGCAAAGCAGTATCGATACGTAACAATATAAAAAGTCGAAATTTGACAAAATCGGTTTTAATTTGACAAAATCAATAGAAATGTTTGAATTATTGAAATTGGTATCGATACTTTTCTAAGTATATGCATTAAATTATCGATACTTTAAGAATTTAAAAAAATTACAATAATAGTATCTATAAAATATCAATATTTTATAAACATGTATCGATATATGATAATTTAAAAAAATTGTAATAATATAACATATATTGATATATGATAATTTAAAAAAATTGCAATAATATAACATGTATCGATACATCATAGTTTTGTGTGTTAAAGGTTAAATGAGCTTTCTCTTTGGGGAGAAAAATACAGGTTAAGTTTATAGGGAGTTGCTGAGCTTAACGAGATCGGAGAATATCAAGTTTTACTTTATTAATTTGAAAGCCATATTTACCTTCAGAATTGGTATAATTCTGATAAAATTATTCTTTAAGATAAAATAACATCATTATTATTATTTTATTTATTTATCAATTTTTAGTCGATGCTAACGTATTTATTTTATATTATTCTTTTTTACTAACAATTGTTGACATTGTTATTAAAACCAAATTCAGTTTGTTAGTCTTATGATGGCGATTATTATAGTGGTAAAAAAAAACCAACCAAGCTCTTATCCTTTTCCAGGGATTACCCAAGGTTATGTTGATTTATATATCACTTAAATCTATTTATTATTATCTTTTAAATTATGTATTTTATATTAAATTATTCATTAAAATATTTTTATACACATTTTACTTATTTGTAATAAATTATTAACTTGTTAAAAAGGAGTAAATTATGTTTTTATTCACTTAGCTATTATAATAGTTTATTCAACTACTTTTTTAAAAATTTAAATTTTTATTTCATTTTAATTCCTCTAAATTCACTTCCCGTGCAAACTGCCGCTTAGTGTGCACACCTTAAAATTTTGAATTTTATTCAATCAGTCATATATTTTAATAATGGTATCTACCTAATATTTTATTCATGTACATTCTAAAATTTTATTCGTATCCACATCATTAAAATTTTTGTATGGTTAACATGTACGTATCTAATCTTAAAAAAAATATTTCTCTATTCCTCACTACTACCAATGACGATGGCTTCCAACACATCACCAAAGACGGAGAGACCTACAGCGTGGCTCGCCGCTGTCTCACTGGTCACTCCCACTTGGTCCAAGATCATCTCTTCCGATACGTAGTTCGCCCTCTCCGGTTCCTGGGACGGTGAGCTTCAACTCTGGGACGAACCCTGGAACCTCCGCTTGTCGCTTCGTCCACCACAGCAATTGACAGTGGTCGGATCGTTTGGGCTTCACGTGATGGAAGCAGCAAGCTTTGGAACACACTTGGGAAATGCAAATACACTGTCCAAGATGCATGTTGATGCCCATACCAATTGGGTTGGCTGTGTTGGTCAAGTCCACACTCGTAAAAGAGGTTACTAGGAGAGGCAGGGAAGGAAACTTGTTTGATGAGGTTGCAACGGAAAACGTTTCACATAAATGAAGTATAAGAAATTCAAGGAAATTTTGCAGATGTTTTAGGCTTGAATACCATTTCTTAAAGAGCAACAAGGCTACAACAGCTAAGAAGCACGAGGACGGCAAAGGAGACCCGTTTCAAGTACCCGATACGTTTCGGGTACGGGGACGACTGAGGGACGTACCGGGGACGTGCCACGGTGGCAGGGTACGGCTGACCGAAATGGGAGACAGTCAAAGCTTATCCGGGATGTTTCGGGGACGTACCCAAAGGTAATTTTGGATGAGGAGACAACCTCCGAGGACGAAGAAGTGGGATCTTCAGCCGAGGAAGAAGAAGAGGATGAAGAACCCCAAACCTAGTCTACTCCATTGATCCAAAAGAGCCCACCTCCCAGGAATCTTGATCCTGCGATAGCCGTCGCTGGGAATGAAGAATCTGAGGAATCCGGGACTGAGTCGGAATCCGAATCCGACACGGCTACGCCGAATGTCAAGCCTCTTGCGACGAAACCCATGGAAGACATGAACGCGAAGAAACCCATATCCGAGACTGTTGAAAGGTATGTTGGATTACTCTGCTAAAAAAGAGGCTGATCCTTGTGTTGATATGAATGCATTTTATGATTTTGTTAAGAAATCGATTCATACTGAATTACTGATGTTACGAAAGCACAGTTGATGGATAAGATTAGAAGGTTAAAGAAAAAGTTTGAGAACAATGCCAGCAAAGGTAAAAAGGGTGAGGATCGAAGTTTCTCTAAAGCCCATGAACATAATGCATTTGAACTGTCGAAAAAGATATGGGGAAAAGAGGGGATTAGTGGGAAAGTTAAGTCTTCAGCTGCTAAATCCAATGGGAAAGCCAAGGCAAATAACAAGGCAGTGGTTGCATTGAAAGCAGAGTTTCATTCTTCACCTGATAAGAAAGTAGATATTGGGGTGCTGATGGAGGTCGATAAGGTGCCTAAGAGTTCGGTTAGTAATTTGTTTGATAAGAGGTTCTGTGTGTCTGGCTTAGAAGAGGAACTTCTAAAGCATAGTTTAGATATGGTTGACAGTGAAAGGAAGGCAACTTTAGAGGCGAGATGGAGGAAATTGCAAATTGCCGAATTGGAACTGTTTATTGAGCGAAATGAATTGGTCAAGGAGCATGCCAAGTTGATATTTTTATTTAACTTTATTTATAATTTTTTATATATATTTATAATTTTAAAATTATTTTATATGTCGTACCCTTGCCGTCCCCGTGCCCTGTAATTTTAAAAATTGTCATTTTCCATCCCCGTCCCCGTATCCGTCCCCATATCCGTATCCGTGCAACATAGTACAACAGTGGTTGAAGGAAGGAGATAATTGTGTTCTTATAATTTTAGACGACGTTTGCCTGAAATTAGCAAAATTGGGATCGAGAAGGGAAAAAAAGTAAAATGGAATTTTATTCCTAAATTATATTAAAGGAAAATTACTCAAATAACCCCTTAACTATGGGATTGGTGTCGATATGACCACCACACTTTTAATTTTGATAATATGATCACATTACTATTTAAGTGGTTTCAATGTAACCACCTACTGTTAAAAACAAACAACATAGCCGATGTGGGTGCTATTGATTAACAACAAATCATCCACATCAGCTTTTGTAATGGAAAGTGTGTGCATTGAAACTACTTAAATTGTTATGTGGTTATGTTATGAAAATTAAAAGTATGATGGTCATATCGACACTAAGCTTATAGTTAAGTCGGTATTTGATTAGTTTACCATTATATTAATAATATAAATGTAACCAAAAATAAATTTTAATACTAATTAGTATTTTTTTGAACCTATCAAGTAACCTCCGTGGTTTAGGGGAGTGATGTTCTCAAAAGTTTTGGATTCAAGCACTTGTGTTTGAGAGTATGGACACGTTGCCAATAATTAACAAAAGTTCTAAATAAATACTATATTATAACTATCCTAAAATATTAAAAAATTACTAAATGTTTATTAAGTAATAAAACTTGAAGGTTAAATCATTTGTTTCATACATTTACTTCTAAGAGATAACAACTCGAAAGATATGGGATTGTACCAAACAGTTGCAATTCATTTTTGGGTAAGCTATACAGGTTACCACTCAATTATGGTAAAAATCATTTTGACCATCGACGTTTTGATTTGATCAATCAGGCCACACAATTATTTAAATACGTCAATATAACACCCCCCAACCCGTATCTGACCCAGATCTGAGTATGAGGTGTCACATCAGCTTTCCAAAACTCTGTTCTTTACAATTCCATAAAATCTTAAATTCATCATTTAAGAAAGAAAATGGATACTTTACCTTAATAACTACAATCAAATTGTTTCTTTAAAACGATCAGAACATATTCAATTCAAAAATCTTGTAACTACATGCCAACTAACTCTATAAACAAAATACATATGTTCAATATGTTTCTGATCTGATCCTTGTAAAGAAGATACTGACCTGTCTTGCTCCTCGCTACTTCCATTCTCGTTTCTCAAACCTACATGTGAAACATTCACACGCTAAGTCTATGACTTAGTGAGGCATTAAACTTATAAGAGAAACTCTAACTTTTTAACCATGCATGAACATATCATACCATGCTATCACACAAAACAATATAATATTTCGTATAATTAAATGTACACAGATACAGATCACTCATCATTTACTTCGTTAATCTTATTTCACTATCCAAATTATTAGCATTTATATAAGTTAATCATATCTTCTTGTCCTAATCTTTTCCACCAACATATATGACTCATAAACCAAACAATACAAATATCATCATATATCACAAAAGCATATTCTTCACATGTAATGTATTTATTGTTATATCTTTGTTTAGCCCATGAACATTCTGAGAGCTAAAGATACGTGAGT